CCTAAACCTAAACTAACACGTTCTTTCGTTTCGTACTACCGTAAACTTAACGTTCCGACTCTACTGTCTACGACTACTTTACTTCTCCTCCTCCTCTTCCTTCCTCTCTCTCTCTCTCTCTCTCTCCATTTATTAAATGTGAATAAAGAGCTAGAGGTTTAACCTGATGAACTTCCCAATGTTCTAACGCATAATTCTCTCTCTTCCCAAATTCCTTTGCTCTACGCTCGCTTCACTCTCAGAGGTTCCATGGCTTCTCTTCTCTTCCTTCTCTTCTGGTCTCTCTGCTTCTCTCTTCTCCATGCGAAATCCCCCTATCTCTCTCCCTCCATCTTCCTCCCAAACTACGGCCAAATGCTCAGCCAATTCAAAATCTACCCTTACCCCAACCCCAATACCAAGAACACCACCCTTTCTCTCTCTACCAACCATTCTTCCTCTTTCTCTCTCTTTCACCAAACCCTCTTAACCAGCCACTTCATCACGTCGGACCCCGGCGAAGCCCACCTCTTCTACCTCCCTTTCCCGGCGACTCCCCAGTTTTCCGGCAACCGGAGAACCCTAGCCCGTTACATAAGGGACGTACGGTCGTCCTTCCCCTTTTGGAACCAAACCCTTGGCGCCGATCATTTCTATGCGTCGCCCCATTTGATCGCCGTTGACTCCGATCGAAACCTCGTCGAGCTCAAGAAGAACTCTGTCCAGGTCGCCGGTTTCTTGCCGGGATATTCCACGGTCAACGGAATGTTCCTTCCACATAAGGACATAATGTTGCCGCCGATTCCGCATCGGCAAAAGATCGGCGAGGGGGGAGGGAGGGGGCATTTGGTTGGGGAAAAGATCGGCGAGGGAAAGAAAGGGACGGGACAATTCCTGGGGTGTTATGTTGGGGATGACACGCGGCAGGTACGGTCTGTGCTTGAGTATCTAAGAGAGGATTCAAGGTTTATGATCGAATCTCAACCGTTGGATCTGGGGTCATGTGGGTTCTGCCTGTTTCTGTACGGCGGGGACCTGACGGCTATGCGTGGGGCTCTGTGGGCGGGGTGCGTGCCCGTGGTTATTTCTAGCCGTCCGATACTTGAGATGCCTTTCAGTGACGTTTTGGACTGGAATGGCATTGCGATGTTTGTTGGGGCTAAAGCGGTGAAAGGGTTAGCGGGCAGGTTGGAGGAGGCTTTCGGGCAGGGGAGACACGAGGAGATGAGGGGGGCGGGGCAGCGGGCAGCCGTCCATCTCATATGGAACAGTCCTCCTCGACCCTACGATGCGTTTTACACGGTGATGTACCAGCTGTGGCTTAGACGGCATACGATCAGATACGCTAGGAGGCAGAACCTGTAAGGGTACTTTCGTCATTTGTAACTGTGGAAGCACGCTAGGGGGCATTTTGGTCATTTATTTGGTGACATGGTCTTCGACCATGAATGGCCGGCTGTAATCTCTTGCAACCGGGAAGGGTAGTTTGGTCAATTGTGCTTATAGTAGTGGCCTTGTGGGGCTTCAATTCTGTAAAGTTACTGGAGGGTAATATTGTCGTTGTGGAAATGACCTTGGAGACGACGACCTTGTCATAAAGGGTATTTTCGGCATTTTCAGAAGTTCAATGTACATCTTTTGTGGGTTAGTGCAAGGATTATACAATGAGCCTATTTATCTTTCGTACAAAAAAATCACAATCTATTGTAACCAACCCACACGACACGTAAGTTTTATCTTTGATATTGGTATAAAGCGATCAATGTATAATGGAAAAAGTTTATATAAGGTTGCAACCATATAATGAAGAGCAACGGATGCATTTAAAAAATTCATAAAAAAAAGAAAAAAAAAAAACGGATGCATTTAAAAATTCATAAAAAAAAAAAAAAAAAGGTAGTTTTAATGTTGAAAAACCTTTTGATTGGTCGTCTTGACATTGAGATATATGACTATGAAAAATAAAAAGATTTTAAGTCTAAAAAATAGTACATTTTACAACATATTATCTACACTGTTTATTTTCAAGATTTTCATATGTCTATAAATCGATTTGATTTTAACCATTTTTTACATTTAAAATTTTATAATTAGATATAAAAATAGATTTTGAGATAATCCTAAAATAATTAGATATAAAAATAGATTTTGAGATAATCTTAAAAACATTTTACATCAAAATTATATACCATAATATACCATGATAAAATTTGAAGTTGTATCTTGCTTCTATTGCTACGGATGCATCCGTATATCATCTATCATCTGCACCCCTATATAATTTATAATGTGAAATTTAATGGTATCATTAAGTTCAAAAAAATTTATTTTTGATTTAAACTTTTTCGATTTTATAGCTAATCGTTAAAGATCAATTGCGACGGCCCGCACATGGTTTCGTTGTAAGAGTAAAAGAAAGGATGTGACAGAGAGGATGCGACATAGATGTGAATAAATATCTTCAATAAGTACTTGCTTTCCATGTTGGTAGATTTTAAAGGAACTATTTTTCTTAGCTAGATACTGATTAGAGAACTCCTAAAAATTCATCCTTCTGTTAAACAATAATGCTAAGCAAAAGGCAAATAGCAAAACGTGAAGAAACTTAAGACGTTCTAGAGGCAAGAAATAGATAATGAAAGGTCCTAATTATTACATGTTAAAGAACAATGCATATTTCAGATAAACCATTTTGTTCACTATAAAATATGAAAGTATGATTCTATAGGGGATAAGAGCAAATCGAGGATCGCTATGTTTTAAATATTAAAAAAAGAAGGGGGATTAAAAATAGTTCATCTTCTAACAAAATATATGGACAGTCAATTTTCAATATTTTCAAGTGTTCATAGATCTATTTGAACGTTACAAACTTTAAATTTCATAATTAGATGAAAAAAGTTTATATGGAGCCGAGGCTCTAAACAATCAAATTAGTGTTGGAGTTTGTTTGGGTGAAATATAGACAGAAAATAGTACTGTTTGCAAAAAAGAAAGCTCGAACTCTTCTTGTTTTCAAGCACGCTGGAGAGCTATCTCAATACGATATTTGCCTCCTTTCGATAGGGTATTTGATGTGCATAAGAATGGCAATTCGTCCTCGAGATACATAAAAATAGAGAGGTCTTTTATAATGTTCCTAAGTTTTATACACCCGAGGTTGGAACCCACACGTAAGACACTAAAGTCTTGATAGTTTAGAGAGGGAAAGAGATAAAATCGAGTAGAGAGAGAGTTAGCTCACTGGTTTGATTACTGGAATTGCAGAGATTGATGTGTTGTTGAGAGGCTTAAAATTTGTTATAAGTCTCTTCCTCGAATGGGTAGGAATGCTTTTGTTATAGAGCACCAAGAGGCTACCCATTTAGTGTTGTGGTGGTTACATGCACCATCGAACATCTAATGCATCCCAATAGCTACAAAGTTACATGCACTTGAGGGTTACATGCAACCCAGCAGCTACAAGTTACATGCATTTGATGGATGTTGTTACAAGCCTCTATCTCATTAATGGCCAGATGAACATTGGATATCCCACTCGCATTAACAGTTAGATGATCGTTGGATCGCCCTACGAATCGAGCTAACAAAAAGATAATGAACCACGAGCGACCCACACACGTGCTGGGGTGAGGGGTGCTGATGCGAACAACTAGATGCCCATCGAATCCCCCTATGAATCGGGCTCACAAAAAGATAACAAGCCACGAGCCCTACCCCCACACATACTTGGGCGAGGGACGTCGATGCACGGCTAGATGATCGTTGGATCCCCTTACCAATCGATCTCATAAAAAGATAACGAGTCATGAGTGCAAAGTGCGTCATCAAGTGCCCTCACCCTCGCACACGCTTTGTGTGCTCTGCACATGTACATTATCTCTCATTTGTACTAAGAGTATATTGTATGATAATGCATGCTCTTAAATATATCTCAACAAAATCTCTCCTCTTCAATGTGGGACTCAAACCCACATCTTTCCCTCTCTACAAAGCATTTTAAGAAATAACAATAAAACCAAAGTGGTTGTTTTGAAATACTCTTAAGCATTTTTCAAACTAAAAATACTAATAATGTCATCCACTATTTTAAAATAACAAAACAAAGCATATGAAACATATTATTTGCATATCATGAAAGTATCTTTCGATTTGAACTTTCACTTAGAGTATACACTACAAAGTCCATCAAGTACCGTGGTAGCGTATAGCTTTGAACCAGGTTGTTTATCTAATAGACTGGTAGTATAACTCACAAACAATATTAAACTCTGGTGTCTTTTTAGTTGTCAGCACGTTTTGAGTCTTGTGCTTATATCCCAATTACATAAGTGCTCTAGAGATGAGTCTGTCTCATAGGAAGCGGCTTCACTTTCACACTTATATAGGTGTATCTATCAAGAGCGCCCATGTATATACAACACTCTGACTTATATATAGTTCATAAATAACATTAAGAGCAATACTCATCCTACTAACATACATGTCATCACTAGACTTATCCAATGTATGGATTTTTTTAGAATGAGTGCTTTTTATATTTTGTCCTATAGTGACCAAACTAACTATTTGTATAGTTTGTTTTTACCACATTGAACTTAAAATTTTGAGGTTACAAAAGATTAAATTTGGTTCCTACTGTAGATGATTATTCAATATACTCTAGCCCCATTCATTTTGACATATTACTAATGTCATCCCTTGTAAGGGCTTAAGTCAAAGGATCATCCAAAATTTCGTTTAATCTTACATATTCTATACTAATCACTCTATCCCCAATTAATATTTTAATGGAGTTATGTCTTCTCGTAATATGTGTAGATTTTCCATTATATACATTATTATAAGTTCTCACAATAGTAACTTGATTATTATAATATATTATTATTGCAGGTATTGGTTTTAGCCCTAGAGAAATGTCATATAACAAATTGTTTACCAATCGGTCTCTTTACTGGCAGAATATAAAGCAATAATTTCAAACTCCAAAGTAATATGTGAAATACACGTTTGTTTATTTGACCCCATGATATTGTACCACCCGCTAATGTAAATATCCATTCGGATGTTGATAATAAATCTGGGATTTCATTATTCTAATTAGCATCACTAAACCCTTCCAACACTCCAAGATAACTCACATATTTTATGCCATAATTGATAGTTCCTTTCAAGTATCTTAATATTCGAGATATACCATCCCAATGCTCTTTACTTGGACAACTTGTATATCTACTAAGTTTGTCAACTGCATATGTAATGTCAGGGCTCGTGCTACTCATTACATATATCAAACTACCAATTACCTTAACATATTCAAGTTGATATATGCATATCTCATTATTTTTCTTTAACTTAATATGAAGATCTATAGGGATGGAGACTGGCTTGGCTTACTCTCAGTATGCTTAAATTTATTAAGGATCTTTTTATTAAGTATTTTTTCAAGGAAAAAGTTTATATAGAAGCGAGGCTCTAAACAATCAAATTAGAGCCTACCTCAAAAATCTCATTAGAAGAGGTTGTTTTGATGCCCAAATATCTTCAAATTGATAATCTCGACATTAAAATGCATGGACATGAGAAAAAAATGGATTTCAAGCTTTGGAAATAGTACATTTTGTAACGCATTTTTTAACCGTCAATTTTCAAGATTTTCAAGTTTTCATAGATCTGCTCGATCTACATTATTTTTTAAGCTTTAAATTTTATAATTAGAAATAAAAATATCTTTTAAGAATATCACAAAAATTTTCAATATTGAAACCATATTTCTCGATACTATTTGAAGGTGTACTCTACTTTGATTGTTTAGAGCCTCGGCTCTATACAAACTGCATCATATTTTCAACACATAACGAGTCAAAATTAATATATTTTTTTTTCTCAGCTATTTTGAAGGTGCACTTTATTTTGATTGTTTAGAGCCTTGGCTCTATACAAACCGCACCCTAATTAGATTTGGCAATAAGATTTGTCAATAGATTTTTATGCCATCACAAATTCCTAAAACTTAATCTTTCGATGTAGTTTTGAGATGGCCCCACTTTAATTAGTACAAAGCTGACACCTTTTCCTGTAGAGAAGAGGAACAAGGTTCCTTAATTTCACATCCACAGCTTGGTAGCCATTTAAGCGTACAGTGTGCTCCTCGCAGGAATACGCAGTACCCGTCCACCGATTTTAATATGCAAGGACATTTCAGACTGCGCACCCATTATATCGAAGGACGGGAATCGTAACTCTGTTTGCCCTCTCTTCGCCTGCAACTTTTTTACAGCAAAATGAGTGCAGGTAAAACCCTCAAGCTCATACACTCGCCTTTTACTTGGGTAGTTCCTTACCTTACCTGTACTTTTGGTGCTCATAATTTAGTATAAGGATCCCTTGAAGCTTTTTGTTGCTATTTTTTTTTAATTTCCTTCTAATTGTTACTTTTGTTATTTTGTTGTTATTGTTAATTATTGATTAATTTTTTTATTTGAAAACTGCATGTTTCGTACGCTTGCCCACTATGATTCGTCCTCGTGTAGGTTTTTTTTTGGGATTATATAGAATGAGATCATTTACCTTTGATCCAAGGTTGTCAAAGTTACTTGCAACTATCCAATTTGAAATGTGATAGCTTGGGTGTGTCATAAAGTTTGAAGCCTATTTGAAATCGGATAGCTTGGGTGTGTCGTAAAGTTTGAGGAAATTTCTTTTGAAGTTTGACCTTGGTAACGAAATAAATGCAGCCATCTAATTTCACATCGAACAGTAAAGATTAATTGTGACTACCTTGTCCCAAAGATAAATGGTATCATTATATACTTTTACTTCTCTTTTTTGTGCATGGAAGGTGCAATGCATATTTGATAGTTTTTTGGATTGCTTTAAGTTTTGTTTCAATTTTTTTTTTTGGAATTCTAATGGTTTTATTTTCATTTTCTTTTGTTATCCAATTATATTATAGGTGTTTTTAGTGCCTTACAATTCCATATGTAATTTATTTGTTTGGAATTCATTTTTATCCTTCATATCCATCTTTTCCATTTTTACTACTAGTGATTTACAGTGATTGTAAGGCCTCATGAACTGAGAAATGCTGTTTGTTGTAATTAGATAACCAATAAATTTATGTATAATTTTACGTATTTCTGCTGTCCATGGATTTTTCTTATCTATTGCTGCTTGTTTGGAATTTCATTCCTGATTATAAATATAGTTTTGGTCTTTTCTGTTGGTTAAATAATTTCGGCAATGGATAAAGGGGTAGTTTTTTGATTGGAGATTATACTTAATTCCATTTTGACAATATACACAAACAATAAGTTACATAACTAAAAGGAATCACCATGTATGGGCTGGTCCGGACTTCTAGGGATATGCTTCCTTCTACTATTATAGAATGCGGAAAATTAGGTTTCTTTTTCCCTCCAGCTATCACCAAATAGCCAGCATTTTCTGGTGTTTTCTCCATAAGTAGTGTTCTAGAAGCAACAGACACAAATGAATTGCAGTAATATTGCCAAATACGCTGAGGAAGATAGTTGTACCGATTCACTTTAGAAGTACAGTCCCATATTTCTCATTGAATGTTGTTGTTTATCGTGATTTTCATTGATTAAAATAATGAGGATAATTCAATTAATTCACACAATCAACACTCAATGTAAGCATGTCAATTTTGCAAATAAATGTATTTTTATTTTTGCACACATTTTACAGGTGATCATGGAGCAACTCAGCCCAATTCTCAATATGAAGAGGCTCTGAGTACCATCTCATCATTAATTACTCGCCGTGTTCGCGCAGATGGGAAGAATATGGGCGATCAATTTGATTTGATGTTTCAGTATATCAAGGTAGATTTTCATTATTATATTAAAAAATGGATATGTGGTTTTTCAGTGGAATGTTAAAATAATGGATCATACTTGCATGCTGCATATCCGGTTAATTTAGTCCTTTCTTGCATCTAATGTTTTTCAAATCAGCTCAGCTGCAGAAGTAGGGCCCTGGTCTGGCCGAGCTACTCGGTTGAGTCCCAGTCCACCCAGTCCACTTGCTTGAGTCTGCATCAAGCTCGAAAATCACCTAAAAAGGTTAAAAAAAAGGAAAAATTAAAAATATGTTGAATTCATGAGAACAAGAAAACGATGAACAATAGAAATTGTATATAAACAGATAAGAATTTTTTTTCAAAATGCAAAAAAGAAAAAAGAAAACCCTTTAAATATATTTTCTAGGAAAAATGAGAAAATATAGAAAAATCAGTAGAAAGTCATTAAAAAATATAAAGCCCTGATTATAAAGAAAATTAAATATAAGTCATTTATAATTGATTCAATTGAAGATTAAATAAAAATTAGTTCTAATCATATTAATTAAAAGTTATTCTCTCAAAAAAAATCATATTAGTTAAAAGTTATATTAATTACGTACCCCTGAGTTTGGGGGGGACTCGGCCAAGGAAACCTGCAGAGCCCAAGTTACTCAGGCGAGTCCTAGTTGACTCGCCGGAGTTGTAAAACACTAGTTGCATCTATATGTTGGTTTTTGGCATACATCAAATTGTCCTTGTATTAGTCCAGTGAAGTCGGTGAAGTCTCTTCCATTAATATATGAAGGTTATTTTGGCCAACAGTGTAGATGTAATATATCTAACAGTACACACATTTTATGTATGCATGCATTGATTTACACACAAACTGTAAAAAGAAGAAACGAAAATTTATTGAATTGACTGAAAATTAAAAGGACGCTTACAAATTGCCTACATCATGCATGCATGCATATAGGTAATTTTTTTTTGGGGGGATTATGAATGCAACAGTTCAGTTTCAAAACCTTATAATATATTGGGTGGGGGTTTTTCTCAAGAAATGTTTATATCCTAGAGTGCAATGTTGATTGATCATTTGCGTTTTTTCTCCAAGTTTCTTGACCATGGATGTAAGTTTTGGATCAGGTAAGCATTGTTGCCTTTACATTTTGGTTGTATACTGCAATTAACTCACCTACAACCCCATGTTGGACTTTTCTTTTGAAAACTAAAATCATAGCCATAGATCATAAGTATCTTTAAAAAATGCAGTTGAAACAAGTCATATAATGGTATTTTTTACCTGTCCATCTTTAGATTGGTTGTATTGTGCATGAGGTGTACTCAGTCGAGGACTATCTCATCTATATGTACCTGAAGTGTATTTTTGGTCCATGTTTACATGTAAATTGCACATATATCTAGTTCAGACGTTCATTAAACATATGATTATCAAATTCTTATAAAGTTTTGAATTAATGGATTGTTTCTTCCTGCATTTTGGTGCTGAATTAACTTCCTGACTCTCTTTTCTTGTGTCAACAATTGATCAAGTTCATGTCATTTGTAGCATCTGGGGAACATGCACTTGACCTAGCTTACTTTAGCAATTGAGTGGTGAGACTAGAAAATGACTCATTAAACGTAAAAATATTTAGTTTTCTAGAAGTTTTGAATGGTATTGTGAACTGATCCTAATGGTCTATGATGAGCCGTGGGCTTGATGAAGGAGGGTCACTTTTTTCTTGTGTCGTTAGTTTGTGTGGGGAAGAGCATAGATGTTGTGGTGGATAACAAACAGATAGAGGCAGATGCTTAATTTTTTTATTTCCTTATGGTGGTTATATACCCAAGGTTCTGATTCATCATTTTTGTTATTCTGCTTAAACATATAGATTCTTAAAAGGTAGTCAAATGGATAGGATGTTATTGTGGTGAGTCTAATAATTGGCCTGCTGAGTTCAATTATTTCATTTGAAAATTAGAGCTTACAGTTTATGAATTTTATTCAAATTGAAATATCTTCTGGGATGGATGGTGGTTCTCGTTATCCACGAGTCATTTGTATGTCATCTGCATTTGTTTGTGCCAGCAGGCAATTGTTGAATATGTGAGTATTGCAGATGCTAGATTTGGAAGAGCCCATTTCCCAGCTGAAGATAATCCATGTAGCTGGCACCAAAGGAAAGGTATCTTTTTGCTGTCAAATTTTTTTTCACAAAACAACTGCTGTTAATGCACATGATTTCTATTGTACTTGATTTGGTAGACTTATCTTAAAACTTGTTGGTAGAAAAAGAGTATTTAAGATGTTTTTCAACTTGAGACTTGTGAGTTGCTCCAGTGGGTTCATGGGTAAAGTTTTAATCTTTCCAACGTGGAGCTATGTGCGCCGTATAAGAATTGCCTTCTCTGAAGTCTTGAGTACATGATTTCTATTGAAAGGTTTAGATTGAGAATGGTGAATTCATCTTTTCAATGGGACTCATACTATACAGAGTTGAAGCCATTTTAGCATATTTCTATGTAAGTGCAACTTGTCAACCTTATGAAACTGAATATAAAAGCAACTAGCCCCAGACATGAACTGATCTGAACGTGTTCCATGGCACTTTATTCTATTCAACTACCATACATGGGTTATTATTGCACTTAGAGGTACTCAATTTTTTGCTGGGTATACGAGTCTTACCTTTCTGTTAAGTGGAGTTCTGGTTGTTGCTACACCAAGCTTTGACCTGTTTTCTCTTGCAATGTAACCAGTGTTTAGAAGACTGGCTTGGTGTTCGGAACTGTTACCCCTGCGAGTTCTAAGCTGTATAGGCTGACTCGGTTAGCCGGATCAGGGGACTCGAGGAGCCAGCAAAGTTAAAAGAAAATGTAAAAATAAAATAAAATAAATGAAGGAAAAAAGTTTGTTTGAACCAGAAAAATATGATAAAGTAAACAAAAATACACGATTGTAATATGGATTTTTTTCCTAGATTGAATCATTTTTCAATCTGGTTTAAAAAGATTTTAAAAATGGTGTTTTGAATTTGTTCTCAAAATAAAAAACATATTAAAAGGGGGTTTCGAAATTGGGCTTTTCTGAATTTAAAATACAGATTAATAACAAAACCCCCTTTTCAAAAAATATAAAAAGCAGATTATAACGTGAAATCAAATTTGATCTACGTGAAATCAGATGGCTCGTTTTTCATTTAAAAAACAAACATTCTTCCATTTTGATGCTGAGCTCTTTCAATGCTTGCACAACCGACCTCTTTCAACTTTTGATTTTGTCTATAGGGATTTGGATCCCAAAGAGCTTGAAGAACAAATTAGATACTTGTTAAGAAAAAGCAGAGGCAAAAGGAGGGAGAAACCAACAGAGTGGTAGTTGGTGGCTAAAAAAGGTTAAATAAAAGACTTGCCTGATATCAGGTGCCCCTGGCTGGGGGGGGGGGGGGGAGAGGAGGAGGGGGGAACTCAGATTGGTCCCCGACCTGTTCCGAGCAGACTCAAGCAGTTCTGAGCCGGCCTGGTGATTTTTAATATACTGGTTGTGACTAAACTTTTAAATTGTTTTACGTTTTGCAGGGATCCACATGCACATTTGTAGAGTCTATCTTAAGGACCTCTGGATTCCACACAGGACTTTTTACATCTCCTCATTTAATTGACATCCGGGAAAGGTTTCGAGTTGATGGGTAAGTCATAAATGAATCATGAAGTTTCTATTTTGTTGGAAAATACATATATGCACTAAAGATTGAGTTTCATATGTCTTATGAGTTCTCCTATTATTGCATAAAGTAGAAACTTACTGTCTACATTAATTAATATTAGAATTACTTGCCAGTAATATCAATGAACTTTCAATTGCATGAAAATAAGTAATTGCAACAACTTAGTGCTGATCATTTTATCTATGTATATTTTTTTGTGGTTGTTAATTTTGATCAACCATTTCTTTAGGGGGAATGATCATGTGTATTAGAGTTATTTCAAGATTTCCTATAGAAGATGCATTTACCCTTTCTCTCACTAACGTCACCCCACTTTTCGATCCATTATCTCCAATGTTCTCTTCCCCACAAGAGTCGTCTTCCCTCTTCCTTGCTCTATTTATACTCTCTCTCTCTGTCTCTCATGCCCTATAGCACCCCAACTCCCGGCTTCTATTATATTTTCTTTTCTCCTTCCCCGCTTATACTCTCTCCTTCTCTCTCTCTCTCTCATGCTCTCTCCTTTCACACCTTTAGCTCCCCCACCTCCCTAGCCCTCCACCCAAAAGCACCAGGGTCCAAAATGCACTAGTATCTAACCCACATACCACAACAACAACCTCACCAGAGATAACATCTTAGCCATGACCATGGCTTCTTACTTGACCCATCTCACAAACTTAGAATTTCACCAACCAGAGGCCCTCTGGCTTTAAATAAAGCCCCAACCTTCTGGAAATAATGTCGAAAAACAAAAAATTCCTCCTTAATTGCTTAAAAATCTTGAGCACATTGTAGGAAAAGGTGACCAGGATCATTTTAAGATTCAGATTACCAGAATCTGGTGATGTGAAGCTGGTGAGGTCACATGTGCTAAGTTTTTACAATTTCGAAGTGTTGATTAGTTAAGTCAGACTGATACCATGAGATAGTTACTAGCAACTCGCTGAAAGAAATGACCCACGATTTTGTAAGGCTGCACCGTTTTGATCGAATTAATTTTAGAAGATGGCAATCTAAGATCCTATTTTTGTTGAGGAGTTTAAAAATGGACTATGTACTAAAGAAGCCACGTCCCCATGCTGCATTTGAATCTATCGATGATCAAACCACCACTAATCAGATTGCCAAAGAAATTAAAAAATGGGACAAAAATGATTATATTTGTAAAAGGGCATATCCTGAATGCTCGAAGTGATCTTTTGTTTGATCTTTACTCAGGAATGCCAACTGCAAAGAAGCGATGGGACGCTCTAGAAGTCAATATAGAGAAGAAGATGCAAGAAGAAAGAATAATCTCATTAGCAATACTTAAATTCTAAAATCATAGAAGAAAAATCGATATTGGCTCAAATCCATGATTTTCAGATCCTAGCCAATGAACTAGTATCAAACTTGATGAATCTTTTCATGTCGGGGCAATTGACAAATTGCCACCCTCTTGGAAAGAATACAGAAACACACTGATGCATAAGTCAAAAGACATCAGCTTCGAACAATTGATGACCCTATTGAAGAGACTAGACTCTGAGATGTTAAAGAGTATAACTCTCGGATGGTCGCCAGAGCTCACACAGTTGAAGGTCTGAGAAAGAATAAGCCATGGACTGAAAGAGGTATCAAGATTGAAGAAAAGAATGACTCAAAAGTTTTAAAGGCAAAGACAACTTAGGATAAGGGTTAGAAACCCTTGGTATGCTTTTTCTGCTGCAAAACCGGCCACATCGAGAAATTTTGCAGAATTCGAAAGAGACAACTGGCTCAAGCCAATATGGCTGAAGAAAGATTTGTTGCCATGATCTCTGAAGTCAATTCAATAGGGGGCACTACAGAATGGTGGGTGGATTATGAGGTCACTGGACATGTTTGTTATAACAAAAACATGTTTAGGACTTATAAAATGGTGTGGGAGGACACTGTCCTGCATGTGGGCAATTCTTCCTCCTCTAAGGTACTTGGTAATGAGACGGTTGAACTAAAATTCACGTCCGGTAAAGTCCTCACCTTTCTGGATGCGTATCATCTCCTTGAAGTCTGGAGAAATTTGGTGTCTGCATACTTTTTGAACAGGAGGGGTTTCAAACTAGTCTTTGAGCCCGACAAATTTATCTTGTCGAAGAATGATGTCTTTGTAGGAATGGGGTATGCCTCCGAAGGCATGTCCAAACTCAATGTTCATAATGAAAGAGGGAGGTTCCTGTGATTCCAATTGTGCAGAAAGGTCTTTGATTTTAGTTTATTAGTGTTGTTGCCAATCGATACTGATCGGAAGAGTTTATAATTGTGGTTTTATGCAAGTATTTTGAGAGTGCAACTCAAAAACTCATGAAAATCTGGCTATATCTCGGGGGTGTGTTCATCAGGGACTCTATTGCATCCGGGAATTGTATCAGGTAGGGGGCAATTAACACTTCGAAGAAAGCGAGCTCCTCTCGTGCCTTTAGATCTTGGACATCCGTTGTCATTATGTAAAACTTCCGAAACGTAATCCAATTCCTACGGGAATTCGATTGGTACTGGGAGCGTTTTTATTGGGAGATATAACCTCTGAAACGTATTCTAATTCCTATGGGAATTCGACTGGTACTAGGAGTGTTCTGGTAATTTTTTTCTACACTTACCCTGGATAAAGGGAGGTGCTGTCAAACTTGTCTTTGAGTCCGACAAATTTATCTTGTCGAAGAATGATGTCTTTGTAGGAATGGGGTACGCCTCAGAAGGCATGTCCAAACTCAATGTTTATAATGAAAGAGGGAGGTTCATGTGATTCCAATTGTGCAGAAAAGTCTTTGATTTTAGTTTATTAGTGTTGTTGCCAATCGAAGTGTTACAGAAGCGATATTGATTGGAAGATTTTATAATTGTGGTTTTGTGCGAGTATTTTGAGAGTGCAACTCGAAAACTCATGAAAATTTTGATATGGCTATATCTTGGGGTTGTGTTCACTAGGGACTCTATTGCATCCCGAAATTGTACCAGGTAGGGGGCGATTAACACTTCGAAGAAAGTGAGCTCCTCTCGTGCCTTTAGATCTTGGACATCCGTTGTCACTATGTAAAACTTTTGAAACCTTATTCAATTCCTACGGGAATTCTATTGGTACTAGGAGCGTTTTTATTGCCAGATATAACCTCCGAAACCTATTGTAATTCCTATAGGAATTTGACTGGTACTAGTAGTGTTCTGGTAATTTTCTTCTAACACTTACCCTAGATAAAGGGAGGTGCTGTCAAATTTTTTGGGAATAGGTTGACAATGAAAACTGTAAAAACTTAACAAAAGGACGGTTCTAGCATTTTGATGAGGATTCATAAGAGGGCTTTGGTGGGAAGAAAGTGGGTTTTCTATTAGAAATTTGCCTTAAAAGAAGTTGTATCATTGGTGGAGATTGAAGAGTGCGGAGATGTTGAGGCTTATATAGAGATTGTGGTTTTGATGAATTTTTTTTCTACAGTTTTAAAGAAGATGTTAATAAAGGAGTTGAAGAGGGTGTTAGGTGTGCTCAAGGTGGAAATGAAATGGATTTTTTTCGTTTCTTTGATCTATCCTTTGGTCGATATGATGGTTATATTTTCTTTTTGCATGGCAGAACCCCAATGAAATGGAGATTTTTCTTCTTGATTTTTTTTGATAGCCTGAATTTTGACAGGAGACGATTTTCCTCAACTCTTCTTTCTCCAACCTCACTCTTCTCAATCCCTCTTTTTTCCCCCAATCCTCAGTCTCTCTTCTCTCACTGCTTTTTTCCTATCTCCTCTCCTCTATCTCGTTCGTTCTCTGTCGTTCTGCTTGTGCAGTTTGGTGGATAATGAAAATGGAAAGTCTTGTAAAGATTTGCAGACGTGAAAGTGAGGAATGGATGCCGTTTTTAAAGAGAACGGACAAGGACAGAGAAAACCTGTTGAAGGAGAAACAATGGGGAAGAAGGGGTTCCATGGATGGCCAAAACGTCAAATACGCCGCAACGCATTGCATTTAAAATGCATATGATTAATCCCTTTCTTTAGTTATAGGGATTAAAGTTGGAATATCTGAGTTCTCTTCCAGATGGCTTTATCTGTCGGCCTCAAAGGATATATCGTACATGCAATAAATTCAGGGATTGTACAGTATAAGACCTTTTAATTTTGGTACACGAAGTTCATGTTCACCTGCATCAGTCAAATTGAAATCCGATGGCTAGGGGTGTGTCACAAAGCTCGTGAAAAATTTAATGGACTTTGGATCCCGTCAATGGTACACTCTCAACCTTGCAAAATAGAAGTAGATATCATCCATTTAAGGGGCATCTCCCTGTTAAACCACAAATGCATCATACATGGCATCATTAATGTTTCTACTAAAAGATGAGCTAGTGATCCAAAGGGGCGTAGCAGAACAAGGAACTAACCTCTTATATGTCGAGAGAGATGCATACATTATATATGCATGTGTCTGCAAATAAGTATCTAGATGCATACTATTTGTGCTTGTTTATGTGTATGCTATATGCAGAAACATGTTAGCATGTACATTCATGTACACAGTGCATGGCTCATGGGCATACCATAACATCAAGTACACTAAATTAGAAGGCACTGGATTCGTTGTCATAAATGTGCAGCTTTAATTCAATTCATGTTTTCCAGGTTGTTCATTGCAATCTTCTATCGTTCCTTAGAGAGAGTTTAAGTTAAGATGTCTTCTGCTTGGAACTCAATTAACTCTTGCTCTATGAACTCAAACTCTACAAGTCATATCCTTTTATGGATGATCAGATTTGGTGCTATCTGTAATTTTTTATGTCAGTCATGCCACAGGTTTGATATACTTTCTTCTGTGGTCTCTTTAAACCTGGTGTTTGGTCTCTCTAAACCTAATGTTTCTAATTTATCTGATTTTGATTTTATTTTTTACAATCACATATAAAGAAATAATAACTTGATTATTTTGCTGCAATTCTCTTTCCACGTTCATTTATTAAGCCATAAAAAAGAAAAGGTCTACTATCATAATGTTTCTTCTTCATTCTTAGTAGATCTGGGGTCCATAATTCTTGGATTTTCTGCTCTGTGGCTGTAGAATGGAAATATCGGAGGAAAAGTTTTTGGCATACTTCTGGTGGTGCTGGAATCGTTTGAAGGTACATGATTACACAAACATTCACTTGTAAAGTTCAAATAAGCACATGTGCAATATACTCTTCACATGTTAATCTATTGATGTTTCCAGTTTCTGCATTCCTTTATTTTCTTTTTTTGGTTCTTCAGTGTATATGCTTCTCCTAGATGAATACTGACTTCATCCATATTGTGAAGATTTACTTTGACAAAGTTACAAACATTCATTTTGGAAATAAATGGTTGAATGACCAAATCCAACGTATTATACTTAAAGGTTGTCTTCATACAACTGCTCTATTAAAAAACATAAAGAACGAGTGGTTAGAAATTACAGTGTTTTGCTATGGACAGCACCACATCCTACTTTGCTTATTTGGGTCATTGTACGTGTGAGATCGGGTGGACCACATGACTTATTCTTAGTACTACTTTATCAACGTTTTCTGGTGAATAATATATGATGTTAAACCTCTGAACCACAGCAAGTTCGAGATGTTAGAGTGGTTAATAAGTTATAGTGATATTTGTAATATGGTGCATCAGCAGGGGCTTTAATCTGTTTGTCAAAGTACTATATATTCAAGTTTTGTCTGAGACGAGCACGCTGGAGCTTTTGCTTATTTATCAGTGATTGACTGATTGATAGGCCAGATTCTTTGAGCCTTGGCATGTACCAATGGGGCATTGCATCTGCATACCGTTGATGCCAATATGAAGAGCGCAAATCTGCAGTTAATTATATGTTTGTTTATCTCTTTATTTTCTTTCACTCGATTACCTTTTTAGAAAAATCAAATGGTTACTTATATCTTTTATAGAAGCATAAACAGAGGAAACAACACTTGACTCACACATGTGAAGATTGTGTCAGCCAGTGTGGGTCCAATATGTGTGGTTGCATGCCCTTGCGTTTCGGCATGTTTTTGCATATGTATGCAGTGTACTTGTATGTGATAAGTAAATGTTTTTCACTTTAAGACTAATCCATGCCGTGTTTCGTTAATGTTATAAATAGATCAATTTTTTGGTTTCCAATCTTTTCAAGATTATCTCATTGGCGGTGTCATATTCCGTGATCATGCATGTCCTCGACATTTCAACCTTTGCATATTAGACAGTTCTTGTGGATAAATATCTAACCACTACAATATGTAATTATAGAAAACCTGGTATGGACAAAGTTTATCAATGATCATCCTAACTTGTATTATCCAGTAAATGCAAATCCATTTTGCGAATGCAAAAGTGTTGAATGTCATTATACTTTATTTGCACTTTTCTCTCCATTCTTCAGGAAACTTACATTTTCTCTCAGATCATTGTTGCATGGAAATGATTAGTGTGCCCCTGATGCTAGCTGTACTACTCTCTTTTCACCCACTTGCTTGTGCAACACTGCAACTTAGTTATCTTCCTCTTTTAACATCAGAGCGCCTTAACCATCAATATGTGTTGCATGTTTTCTAATACTTGGACTGCTGAGTATGCAAGGAACATAAATGTCCTTCTTTGTGTAACTGAATTGTCCAGAGATGCAAAATTGTATGCTTTGATAAATTCATGAATAAGCTTGATAGATCTCAGATATATCTTTTCTTGGAACCCATATTCTTTTGTCAGGTTCATTTCTTTGACATTTTGGCAATTTTATAGGGTATTGCAGTGAAGGTCTAGTTTTTTTTTTCTTTCCCAGTGAATGGTTTCATTGTTTTCTTGTAGGAGAAAACTGATGAGGATGTGCCAATGCCTACTTACTTTCGATTTCTTGCTTTGCTGGCCTTTAAGATCTTTACAGCTGAGCAGGTAGATGACTCAGTTTTTTTCTTTTTTATAATCAGCAGTTTATTTCTTTAATTCTAACATGCTTATCCTTTTGTTAGTTTCATGAAGGCTTTATTGGAGTTCTGTATGGAATATGTTTTTGTGGCCTTGCTCCAATGTTTCTGAATATATGTGACCTATATATATTTCAAGTAAAGTCTAGGGGCTGGGTTTATTGGAAACATTTCTTGTTAGGGTTCTCACTAAAAAATTCATGTTCGATAGGATTTCTGTTGCGTATTGCTCTTAGTTATGTTGAATTTTTGAGTTATTTCATGTAATTTAAATAGTTAAAACCTTCTTTTGATTATAGACATGGAATTGTACCTGATCAATCTTTTTACTTATTAGTTTATTTCTTACAGGTCGATGTTGCAATCCTGGAGGTTGGTTTAGGGGGAAAGTTTGATGCAACAAATGTGGTATGCATTTATTTATTTATTCGGAAATTATTTGACTGAATGGATAATCAGCATTTTTATTAGTCTGGAATTAGCTTTTTTAAACAATAACAGAAGTAGAAGGGAAAAAATATTGCATGTATGACCCTGCAATATTGCATGAATGACATGCAATATCTGCTTCTACCATAGAAAGTGCACCATAATTATGTATTTAGGTGATTTATGAATATCTCCTTAATCTATCCAGAAAACAGTGCATTATAAGCATGCACTACACAATACTGCCAATTATTTTATTGCATTTCTTATGCTGCACTTCATATACTTATAGTGATTAAGAATCAAATCAGCATCACATGAACAAATGAAGTTAATATGGAAGGGGGCACGTCATTTTTTAGATATTATCAAAGATCTTTTATCCTGTATATCAACTGCTATTATGAGTTTCACTTGGTTAATATATGGCCATTTTACCAAGTTGATATTCAAGAATTTTACAAGGATGTAGTTGATGAGGCAATCTTGAATTAGGATTTCACTTTTTCAGGTGCAATCACCTGTGGTGTGTGGGATTTCTTCCTTAGGATTTGACCATGTCGAGATCCTTGGTTAGTGCTTTATCTTTTGTATGTTTTTGTCTTCAAATAGCTCATGCAGACAAGCTGTTGGTTTTGATAATTTTTGCAGAATCAGTTTTAGGTTAATAAGATTCTGTAATAAGATTAGTTCTACTTAGTGAATTATAAGTGGTAAGTGGCACTGCATGTTCTGCTTTTCTTGTAATAAGATGAGGCTTTTGCATTCTTTATTTTCCTTTCCTGTGGTTTTGATAATTTTGTAGAGCAATCAGTTTTCGGTGAATAATATTCTGTAATAAAATTCGTTCTTGGCAAATTATCAGTTGTAAGCAGCACAGTGTTTTTTTTTTTTCCTTTTTCCTTTTTTCTTGTAATAGGATCAGGTTTTACATTCTTCATGTTCCTTTGGTCACATTTTAGCATCCACATTGCCTTCCTACTACTCTTTTGACCACTAGCAATAATCAAAATTCAATTGGCTGATCCCTTGATATCACTTGTAGATATGTTTCCATCTCTCATTTGGGAAACCATCTTGCTTTAGTGAGTGAATCCTCTACCCTTCATTCAGGCTGTCACAGTTTATGACTCAGGCTGTCATGGATATCATGGAAATGATATCATGAGGAAGAACCAAGAGAAAGCAGACAGAAATGCTTAAGTTGAAACTTTTTAGTTATAGATATTTTCGAATTCACTAAAATGCACTGATATCTCCTTACTAATGTTCCATTGAACCAATTATTTTGGTTAGTGAAAAGAAAAAAGTTGTCAGATGTATGGAATAGAAAGATCTATCCACATACACAGCTTTAGGGTTTGAAGGTGTTTGTGATATATGAGAAATGTGTATTTTTACTCATTGTATGACAACATGAACAGGAAATACCCTTGGCCAAATTGCAGGGGAGAAAGCTGGTATTTTCAAGGTATTTATTTGCGGGCGACAAAATTGATATAAACAAGGGATTCTGTATGGCTCTTTCTGTTGAAGGGATCATGTTCTGGCATTCTCTTATGTTTGTATCTTTGGATGCAGCATGGAGTTCCAGCTTTTACTGTTCGTCAACCTGATGAAGCAATGTGCGTTCTTGAGAAAAATGCTTCTGAATTAGGGGTAATAAACTGCGCTGTAGAATATCTTGTCGAAGTTGCACTATAGCATTATTTTGGTTCATTTTTTCCTTAGTGCACTGATGAAAGGATTTGAACTTATACTCATGAGTATTAAACATTTATTTTCTTCTTCTTCCTTTTTTTTTTGCTTCAGATATCCCTTCAAATAGCATTGCCTTTGGATGTTGACATGTTGGGTGGTTTACATCTTGGGCTTAGTGGTGACCATCAATATATAAATGCAGGCTTAGCCATTGCTTTATGTCGTAGTTGGCTTGAAAGGACTGGACAAATTGAAGGCTTTCATGTGGATCAGTCTGTAAGCTCAATCTTTACAACGTGACCTGCTTACATCTTTGGAATGCATATTATAAATTAATGGTTTATAGAAAACCATAGTCCACTGGTCATCGCCATCCAATGAAATGATAAATGGTAATGGAGCAAGAGTGGTACTTGCTATTGGTGAGCTATGATTGTATCTTAGTTCAGTTGATTTGTTGTGGAGGGTCCCACTTTCTCTTTCATCTCTCCATAACTATCGTTACATTGGATGTTGTTGACCTCAGTGGACTATTATTATATCTTGGTTCATTTTAATCACTTTACCCACATCTTTGTCATTGAAATTATCATGATTTTGATTTGCACATTTTACACAGAGTTCTCTACCAAAGCAGTTCGTTGAAGGGCTTGCAAGAGCCCATATGCAAGGGCGAGCACAAATTGTCCCTGATCAACATTTAATTACAAAAAAAGACTCTGATATGAGAGAAACCAATTCTAAACCGGGGGAGCTGATCTTCTTCCTAGATGGAGCTCATAGTCCTGAGAGCATTGAGGTTTGTGCCAGATGGTTCTGCCGTGTTATAAAAGAAGGTGTTCAGTTTCATGGAAAGGTTGAGGATGAAAAATTTAATGGAAAGCACATAACTGTACGTGGGTTCTCAGAGAGTGCCAAATACGAGTGGAAAGTACCAGATTTTTCTGGAGAAACCTCTGCGCAGGTTGGAATTTTAATGCTTTTTTGGTCATTGACAAACACTTGCCAATTTGGGAACATACTATAGTCCAAAGGTTATGGAAGAAGCCATAGTCCACTGTGTCATCGCCATCCATTCAAATGATGGACAGTATAGTTTTAGTGGGGGGGGGGGCAGGGACCCCTCAGGAGCACGATACGAGCCCAATGCTGGGTACCAAGGGACAGTTATTCCAAAATATATTGGAGTATAGTGTTCCTACACTTTTTATATTGCACAATCAAGCAAGTTTCCACAAAATTGTTCGCCATCTTTGACAGGTTCATAGGCTGGCTCTATTATAATATGTTAACAAATTCTTGCAGTTCTTGTTGTTCAACTGCATGTCAGTGAGAGACCCTCAGCTTCTTCTTCCCCCTCTCATCAACACCTGTGCTCTTAGTGGTAATCTCTATTAGGATGGATCTTATTTTTCACAAATTATATCTCTATAAATATGGTTGTACCTTTAGTGAATGGGATAGATGAATGTCTATGTTTCATTGGTTATTTGCAGGTGTTCATTTCCATAAAGCCCTCTTTGTGCCAAATCAGTCGGCCTTTAACAAAGTCAGCTCGCATGCATTGCCTTCAAATGACCCCCCTGATGTTGATCTCTCATGGCAACTGACGCTCCAAAGAGCATGGGATAGCCTTATCAGGGAGGCCAAGGGTCTCATCTCTTTCATATTGGTTTATATTTTGGATAATGTCAACAGCAATTATGCTCTCCCTAGAAATTTTTCCTTGACAAAATTGGATAGGATGACATCGAGTTCTCCAAATGCCAAGTGGAACATAGGAAACCAAACCTACCCGCCTTTCTTTCTCTCAAACTAATAGATATGCTCTAGGAAATGTGACAACGACCATATCTCAAAAAAGCATGTGTTCCTCAAGATTTTACTTCTCAAATTGTGCAGCTAATTCATAAATATAAGAATAATAAGAGTACCAATTCTCTAAAGAAACAGGAAAAATGTCTTACAATTCCGATGAACTTTTAAAAATTTAAATCCAATGAGTCATCACTTTGTTGCTCCTTCAAACTCCATAGAAAAGAAAACATTTCATAATTTTGCATTTTTGCTATCACCTTGCCTTATTTAGGTTTTTAGCTTGTTCTGCCATCATGTGGCATGCGCTTAGATACTTGGTATTTAATCAATTTAAAATGTTCGGTTTATGTTGGTATCTAATCAATTTAAAATGTTTGTGTTCAAGTTTTCTGGAAATGAGAATCAAGCATAGGGTTCTGTCAATTTTGCATAATTTCATTGGTGTTTCTTTTATTTCCATAAATTATAGGATTGCTGTTCTTCTAATCTGCCTTTGTGATAATCACTTGCACAATATTAACCGATGACTTTCTCGCATTTTTCGATTCAAAAGATGGTTCAATTTGAAAAGGATGGTGCAGATTAGAAGAGTCACATAACTAGATAATCTGAGCCATCCATGGCATATTTTGCATCCCAATATTGATGTATAACCAAACTCATACTTTTTAACAGGAACCAATGGAGGCAAAAACAAGGATTCTAATTGGAAAATGGAAGACAATAAGGATTGTCATTTAAGTGATGTATTTCCTTCTCTTCCCCAAGCAATCAAATGGTTAAGAGATAGTGCTCGGCAAAATCCCTCTGTTCGCTTTCAGGTAATGATTCTTTTCCTTCTTTTAATTTGACAGATCTCAGGGATATGATTTGATCACTCTATTGAAGAATTGTGGGTAGTTTCATATCCTTCCTCATGCAAAATACCCATTTTGGTTGTGAAACTCCACCAGGTTCTTGTTACCGGATCTTTACATCTTGTCGGTGACGTGTTGAGATTAATTAAGAAGTGAAGCTCTCGTCTTAAGATTTTGAAGAACATGATGTTCAAGAAGAGTAAATTTTTAGTTTAAACTCTGTTTAGCCTTTATTTGGGAAATTGTTGTTGAAGTCAATTATTTCCAAAAGGGAAGGACTGGTAATTGGATAGATTTTGACCTTCTAACGATCATTATTGTCTGCATTTGAGCTTAGAAATTTAGAGAAAATTGTCTGCTTTTTGAGATTAGTAAATCTTTATCTAGATTTTAGGGATAGGGAGAGGTTTGGTGGGTATAAATGGCAGAGAAAGGTTTTAATGGCCAGAGTACAAAATTAAAAATAGCCGGGGCCTCAATGCAACAATAACAAGACAGTAAGAAACTTGTTAATGACTTTATCTTAACGCGCTTGGGAGAGAAGGGTAGGTCACAATGCAATCCATGTTTTTTTACTGGGGAGGATTGTTGACTTTTGGTACCAGTGGATTTATATGCGTGTGAATTAAATTTTAATAGTTTTTCTACGACTATGTTTTATTTGAAATTTGGGGTTTGTACATTTAATCATCTCGCACAAAAATAAAATATCAAAAAATAATTGTGAAAAAATAAAATAACAAAAGTACCCGTATAATATTCATAGGGGTAATTTGCTCATTTTTATTGTTTGCATTTTTTATGTTTTATTTTGATGCATCTCACTGAGACGTGCAAACTCATAAAATTTGAGGTTAATCTGATTTGTAGAAAAAGAAAGAAAGAAAAATTTAAACATTATTGGATAAATGTGATCGTCACATGGACTTTAGACGGTGCTGTATCATAAGTGAAATACTGTAGAAGTTACTCATGAGTGTTTTTAGGTGTCTTCCATTAACAATTATTTTGTTTTTTTTATTAAGCATTTGATATTTTTCAATATAAGAAATCTAAAAGTTGCTTGCGTACTATTTTTAAAGGCTGAAAATTTAATGGAACAAAATTAATTGTTTGTAAAAGGTCTTAACAATAGATAAGATATTTATAAATATAATTGAATATCATTAAACATTTAGAATATATAAACATAAAAGGCTTCAAAATTGTAAGAACACCATATTTTATTTTAAAAAATTTAAAATTATGATAGAAATTTCAAAATATATTATAAATAATTAGTGAAGACTTAAGGAAATCAATCAGAAAGAGATTTAAATGGCAAAAAAATAAAGTAACAATGGTTCTGCAAAATAAAAGACCATCTAAAGAATATTATCAAAGAGCTCTAAGAGAGAGATTTGGTAGAGCAATAACTTATTGTCTGGATCATCTATTTTGTAATATTAGAACAATAACTTAATTTCTGAATTTGACAAAAAAAAAAAAGGGAAATCAAGAATATCTCATCCCCTGATTTTCCACAGAAGGGATGACGTAATTGTCAGATAAATAAAAGATGTCTTCCTCTCTTTCATCGTCGTGTTCCCTCTCTGACTCATGGGCATTTGCTCTCTCTCTCGGTCATTTGTGCTCTTTTTCTCTCTAATAGGCATGTAAAACTATGTTATTAAATGATTTTTTTTTCAGAAATTTATCAAAATGCGTCTTAGGGAATTTATTTACCACTTTAGCAGTATCTTTTGATTTACAAAGTCCATCAAAATAGACATGATGAGTTGAAATACTTGGAAATAGGTTATGTGTTAAATAAATTAGACATAATAAATTTCTTTCACTTTTTCTTTTTATGATGTTTGATTTATATTTTTACTTATTTTCCGTGTTTTAATAATTGATGGGAAAAAGCAAAGTGTGGAAATGGCTGAATGCATCCTCAGCAAGTTTATTCCTCATTAATTTATTTTCCCAATTTTCAAAAATATTATTTTGTTTTAGATATTTGTATTCAATAAATGTTATAATTGGAAATTATTTTTAGCATGAATAAGAATAAGTTTATTTACTTTTTTTTTTTGAAGTGCTAATCAAGTTTCAATTTTTTTCTTTCCTAGTTTTAAAGCCCCCAAGACCATCTATAATATATAAAATAACGCAAATGGATGCCATATGGTGTGCAAGAAATATATACACGGAGCCTTGGATGGAGATTGGGAAAGCCTACTGTTAAAAAAAAAAAAGATTAGGAAATTCTACAACAAAGAAGGTTCAGGTTTGGTTGGGGTGGCGTTACCAAAAACAAATAATAATGTATTTTTGTAAATATGGAGAGAGAACAGAGAATTATGAAAATTAAATTGGGTTTATAGGTTATCAGAAGAGAGATGAAAGAGAATTAAATGGGCTAAAAGTTTGTTATAATAAGGAAAGATAATCTTTATTTTCTCTCCACCTACACTATATGGTGGCCATGTTCTTTTTTAAACGTTATTTCTTTCCATTTTTTTTATTGTTTTCATTATTTAAATTTTTTTATCTGCCGTATTTATCTATGAGGTGAAAAAGTAAAATTCATTATTCATGATAAAGATAGTATACATAGAACATTTGCAAGTGCATATTGTCTTTGTATATTTCTAAAGGACTACCTTATGAGTTGTGAAATGGCTATAAATAAATGGGAAATGTTTTTATGCTTCTCCTATAGCATAGAAGTTCTATCCTCCCTTTACTATTCAGCCGTCCAATTTTGATCAAGAGAGCCACTCATCATTTGATCTTAGATCCGACATCTCAAAGTATCTTATTTTTAGATTTTTTTTATACAAATTGTATGAATATGAAATTGGGTACGTGCCATCTTTTCATTGTGACCCACCTATAAAAAATATTAAAAATAATTTTTCGATAAAATATAATGATCAAAATACCCCTTGAAACTTTCAGGGGTATTTGGGTTATTTTATTTTATTGAAAATAGCTCTTTTATATTTTTCGTTAGTGCGAGTTTAATAGAGGAATGGACGTTTAAAATTTGGTGTCAAAATAGTTTATACAAAAAAAATTAAAAATAAAATAATGTGGGGACGTGACATTGTGATTTGGGCAATCTTAACCCACCATTCAAAATGGACAGTTGGATAAGGGAGATGATAGAACTTCTATGCTGTAGGGGAAACATGAAAAGCTTGCCCTGGCTATAAATAAATAATTCATGCATGATTAAACTTGATCATCTCACAATAATTTTAGTGGATCTAATAGTCCTACCATTTCTCTGTCGTATATTTTTAATTATATACTGTATTAATGAGATGGTGTGAATGAAATTTGCATTTGGTTTTTTGAATAAATCAATAGGAAAACCAAATAAATTTCCACTTACGTGCTTTAACATTTATATACACTTAACCATCCACCTCCGGCATCAAATAAAACAGCAGAAAATATATTTTTTGTTTTTAGCTTTCACTATGACACTATACTTAAGTCATTTCATCTAATCTAAAACCCGCACTTACCTATATGTGAAGACAATATTTTCATGGGAGGGTCTACTAATCTAGATGACTGCCACAACAAAATTTAAAGTAAATTAAAATTAGAACAAGGAACCAATTGTCAAACATCCGGAGACCTATTTAAGTGATACATAACTTCAAAGGGAACTCAAACTTTATAGACACATTGATTATAATCAATGTGTTGCTACAAAATGTCCTTTTTATAATAATTAATATGCAACAAAAGTTTTAATTATTTAAATTCCAAATATTATTTTTTATGGAGAATATATAGGAGCGTTATGGAGAATATATAGGAGCGTGACATCCTAAATCTTATCATCACTACATTTTCCCTAAAAATATTCTCTAAACTTAGGAAAAGAAATAAGATTGGAATCTTACTGAATCCTATTGTTCATTTCTTACCATTTTTTTTGTAATATTGGTTTTCTTTTTAACTAATAAAAAAATGGATTGTATATTATATGACAATTTACTTTTGGTACGGTGAGGTGACATTCACTCTTAGCTATTAGATGTGAAGTCCAACATATTGAAATATGTTATAGCATTCGATAAATTTTGTTTTGGCCTTTGTGCGCAATCAATGAAATCTCTCCAACCACCTGATTATACATTTAACTGTTAGTAATAATTGTGACCTCCTTATATAAAATATAAATGATCTTATTGTATATAAGATTTGAACTTTTTAAGTATTAAATAATTGTCTATAAGAAATTTTGTAATAATTAAATGGGTGAGGTGAGGTCTATATAAGGTTGCTTACTTATGCTATCGAAGTGACGCACCTCTAAAATTTAGTTAAAGATGTCGTTTTGATGTTAAATGTTATTGTAGGGATATATATCTATATGGTATATATATGGATGCATATATTAGGCATCTCTTGATTATGATAATAGAGATGTCGTTTTGGTGTTAAATGTTATTCTATGGATACAAGTGTTAAATGTTATTGTATGTTGACACATATGGTCATGAGGCCTCATGTGATCTTGTTTATAATGGTGGGTTTCATTATTTTTATGAAAGAATCTTACATTTCATTATAATTATCTATCCATAAAAGTGTAAATAATTATAGTTGAGTTGGATGAGTATTCCTGAGATCAAGAAAGACTTTTTCTCATAAACCCGTTGAAAAACATAAAACGTTGGCCGTCTTCTCCCTATATATATGGCAAATTATAGAGCCTCCTATTCTCTCAATTGGGTAGTTCTTAACTACAATCCAGTGCTCCGTGATCACCAACCATGGCAACCGCCTTATCTGATCTTAGGTTTGGTCTCATCCGTGCCATCTATTTTACTAACAATTGTATGCCCTTTGCCGATGAAACTTTGTAGTGGAATGACAAAGCCTCAAGCAACCAAAATTTGATCATTTTTCAGAAAAGAAAACTGAGAAGAAACATTTTTGAAACTTTGTTTGCTTTTCAAAGATTTTTGAAATGAAACAATAAACACCATTATTGATGAACCCATGAATCTAAATACTGTCATTAGCTTCTGAGGGAAGAATTGAGATGATTAGCTGGAAAACTAAAAAACCATAAGAATTACTCGAAAATTAGCCAGACTTGGGGGCTTCAACCTTGGGAACAGTCACACTCCATTGCAACACATAGAGAACCCAAGAATCTAAATTAAACTCAATTAATATAGGCTGTTTATTTTGGTAAGACGCTTAGTTCTAGGCCTTAAAAAAAAAATTTCTTCCTTTCCAAAATTTTTTGATGAGTTTTTTATTATTGGATGAAATATATTAAAAAAAGAAAAAGT